AATAGACTACAACCAGAGGATCTCAGTCCTTTACTTCTACATGACCCACTGTCCTATTTTCTTGTTTTGTCTTTTTGATTTAAGAATGATCTGTGTGTGCTTTCTTTCTGAATCTGCAAGAGGGGTTCAATGTTTAGTTACATAGTAAAGTGCAGATAAGAATCTTGGGCTATCATTTCCCCTAAATCTATTCTATGATTTAAGACACCTTGGGTAAGGGATATATGAGCTCCTACATCAACGGATGATGATTTTTATCTTTACCAAGTGGCCCACAATTTGTTACTGGTGCAATAAGTTAAGAAAATAGCATACTTTTATGACTGTCATTTCACAGTCACTCAAATCAGAACTGGAATGCCACAAAAACAACTCCCTGTTAGCCCAGAGGAAAAAAAAAGAAAGAAAGTAAAGGGGAAATTCAGATTAGTCACAAAGAAGTTCCCCCGCCTGCCTGCAAAAGTTGCAGCGTTAAAACTGAGAGAGTCCGCTTTGCTCTTTCAATTGCCTTTTATCTCGGGTCCTGAGACCTTTGCCTATTTTCTGATTGATAGGCTTCGTTTCGTCCCAGCTTCCCCTTTTTCATATCTTCATCTTCCCTCTACTCAGATTGTGAAGATGGAAAGGGTCCAGCCCCTGGAAGAGAATGTGGGAAATGCAGCCAGGCCAAGATTCGAGAAGAACAAGCTATTGCTGGTGGCCTCTGTAATTCAGGGGCTGGGGCTGCTCCTGTGCCTCACCTACATCTGCCTGCACTTCTCTGCTCTTCAGGTAAGATGCACCACTGGGCGCTATTTTCCCACCAGCTCATGCTGATGGCAGCTTCAACAGTGCAAACAGTCACTTGGACATAATCTTATGCTAAAATTGTGAGTTTTTTCCCCCTCCCCACAGCAATCGTAAAGTGTGGTTAAACGCCCTTCTGTCTCTCCTTTCCTTCCCTCTTTTCAGCAGTGGCAGTGGTAGGGCAGAGTGGAGGTAGGGCAGAGTCACTGCTTCTAGACTTTTTTTCTTTTTCTTTGCAATGCAAGAATCCTGGTATTATCCCATTATAAGCTGTCAATTTGAAGCTTCAAGTCACTGATATACCTGGTCTATCCATTGTGATAGTAATGTGTTTGATCAGGCAATTAATATTAAAAGGAAATAAGAAAGAGACCAATTTTACTTTCCCATAATATTCATAAACTCTATAGATCTGCAAGGTGAGTTTGTTTTTAAAGAATGCGGAAAGTATCAAATTAATAGGGCAGCAATGTGTGTGTGCATGTGTATGCCTATGTGTCCACTCATTCACTCCAATGATTTAATCAGATATTGCTTCTCACAATCTATCTCTGCCTGTCACAACTTAAAGACATCACTTCATCTTTTTCCCACCTTATTAAATACATCATGTAGTAGGAGATTATTTCTAGTATTTTCCCCACTTAATTAAAATATTCCCATTTTTCTTTCACTTTATTCTTCTTCCACACTTTTTGCTTTTACATTATTTTTTCTTATTCATGGATGTTCTTCACTGCAGAGGATGCTGCTGGAGAAAAATAAATATACATTCTCCTCATGTTCCTTTGTTGGGGCTAGTCTGATAATCTTGTTTCGCCAGCTGGTTGTTTTGGGTTAGAAATGTTTCTCCCTGATAAAGGTCAGGCAGTACAAACTTTGATTTCTGATGGTCTTGTCTGAAACTAAGAACCTCCAATTAAACCAGAAGGAGATGAGCAGTCTTGGCAAATGCCTGGGCTTGTCTGCCTACAGGAAATAGGGTTTTCAGTGCACGGAGGCTGGTGAGAGTGTGTGTGGTTGTGATCACCGGACAACAGAGAGTGCTCGTGTCTCCAAATTCCAGAAGTGTAGCCGGTATCACGCTCAGGGCTGCAGACCAGTGAGCATGATAGTACACTTATCCTCTCTTCATCACAGCACACGTTTACGTCTTCTTGCAGAACTCTTAGGGTGCAATTAAGTAGGCGATTCGGGGAGAGGGTGTGGGGGAAGAGTAAGGTGTCCATGGCAGGATGCCCAAGACATCGACCGGATGCCTAAGACATCAACCGGAATTAGGCTCTTTTGAGAAGAAAACAAAGAGAGTAACCGAAAATAGAACAGCTGAGTGCATTCACCAGGTCTGGGAGCCCTGAGAGTGCTTTTTCAAACAACCACAGTGTTACATATTTCCTTACACCATGGGATGATAAAACACAGGACACATGGCTCCGTGCAGGGCTAACTGATTGCACAAGGGCTCTGAGCAGGAGAGAGCAAAAGGTGAAACGCAGACGTACAGCTTGCTGGTGGTTGGGGCCACCTTGGACTATAAATACCCAGGAGATGTTGAGAAAAACAGGGGGTCCTTTCTGACAAGCCATCCAGCATCTCTGGGACAGAAGGAAAGCCGTGGGAAGAAAAGCTGGGCACTTGTTTCTAGGACCCTAAACCTGATGGTGAGTGATCTCTAGGGGAGAATTAGCTTCTATAGTCCTGGAACAGAGATGGAAGCAAGACATAGGTGGTATATTTGAGTTGTTTGCTTAAGAAACATGCTCCTTTCTACTCTGAATATAGATTTTTTTTTCTTGCACAGATATTGGAAATTCTTCACTTGATGTTAATTATAAAATTTTTAAATTTCTAATTAGCTAATGTAATTTCTTATATTGTTATAGGATCTGGGACAGCACAATGGGTCCTTACATTTAATCTTATATTTATTACTTACACTTTATTATGAGAAGGATAGCATAGATGGGTTGTATGTGTTTTCTGTAGAACCTGATGGTTTACCAAATAGTGTTGGTGGCAGTGGTAGCAGCAATGTGTGTGTGTGTGTTTGAGACAGACAAAGACAGAGTGATTGAGAGAGAACGTTGTACAGCAGCTCTTGAAAAAGAGGCATAGACTAGTGGCCATTTAAAACTCATTTACAATACTGTTTGGAATTTTGATTGAGGAATTGAGGGGGTGGTGGTGGTGGTGTTGGTAGTGGTGAGGCAAGTCAAACCTCTACTTTTATAAGACATAAAGTTACAGTGATGTGCACTGGAGGTGAAATAGAGCTGGAATGCTCACCATTTAACCCAATTAAATTGGATCTCTTTTATTGCAAGAGAAAGGTTTTTGGGAAATAAGTATGATTTTCCCTTTATTTCTTAGATTGAATTTTTTAGCCCTATGAAATAATTGCCTATATTAATGACTCTGTAAATACAGATATAGCTACTAAGCTCCATTTGGCAGTCAACTCTCCCGTCAATCAAGTTTATTTAGTAGCCTCTGTTTCCGCATCACTGGGTTAGGTCTATTTATGCACATAAAATGCAGACGATTTTCTTTTCAAGATGCCAGAAAAAAAGTTAGACCTACCCACTCCTCATCTAATGTACTGTCCTCTTTGGGCCTTGATTTTATCATCTGTATTATGAGAAAGTTGGATCAGATGATCAATAAGATGTCTTCCAGCTCAAAATCCTATGAGTATATAGTTTATATATTCACAGAAGGGATATAAGGATTTGAGAAATGCAAAATGTGAGTTAATTTTTGTGTTTGAGCTTATGGATTTCTTGGCTCCTGAGAAGGGATTGGGGGAATCAAATTTGCACCTATATACTTTCCTATACTTAAATAATATATCCTGTACGCATCTAAATGACCCATTCCAGATTAGCAAAACACACTGTTTAGAAAAGGAAAAGCAGTGAATGCCCTCTGAGAATATTCATGACACAAGGTATATAAGTCAGTCCTCCTGCCACCAAAATCAATACACATTGTTTGAATATTATATTGAGATATCCACTTAAATTGTCAGGATTCCACTCTTACCTGGAACTTCAGCTACAGAACAAAGGCAGTAAAAGCTGACCTATAAGGTGTGAGAAACCTCACTGAAACCATTGAAACTTGGTTCTTCCAAGATTCATATCACCTTTATTGTTACCCTCAAAGATGTGAAGGCTTTTAGTGATACTTTTTTTCAGCAATTTCCACTGTTAAAGGCTTACATTCTTAACATTTTTTCAGCTGGAAAAAACAGAAGTGGAGGTACTTAAAAAGTGACTTGACCAGCTCTGTATCAGTGAGAGCCAGCATTAGAATTCATAGTTTCTTAATGAAGTTTAGGGCTACAAGTTGGACCTTTCTTTGTATCATTTAATAAGAGAAATAGGAGTTTGCCTGAAAAAAAATCTTATTTCCTATTAGCTTAATTTACATGTCTCCATGTAATTTAGCAAGCTTTTAGAACTTCTTTTTTAATAATAGACTGCAAATAAGATAATTTCAAAGGCATCTGAATTTGCTTTTCATAAGCAAACCTTTGAGAATTAAAACAACATCCGAAGTTGACCTGGCTTGTCATAAGGCATTTTGGGTTAAGAATCACTGGATTTGGGGCAGGTGTTAGACATAGTTTCTTTAAAGATAAGAAAACAGAAACCCAGAGAGGGTAGGTGAACCATTAGTGATCACTTAGCTGGTTAATTCACCAGAAACTCCTGATTCCTACACTACAGTTCTTCCTATTATCAATCAAGCCATCCTTACACAGATTGTTTTTACATTGAGTGATTCCTTCTGCTAGGCACTGTTTGAGGCATGGGAGATATAAACATCCATTGGAGAAGGTTTTTGAACTATTTGCACTCACAGACAAGATGTGGGGTGGGGACAAAAGAGTGACATGCTAGAGGGACAACGGGAGGAGGAGAGCAGGGAGGAGGGAGAGGCTGCCTCCGTCTTCTGGGGAGTCAGGAAAACCTAGGGGAAGAGATAATGCTTCAGCTGATACTAGAAGGAGGAGAAATTCTTTAAGCAGACAGGAGGATGGGAATGGGTGGGTAGGGGCGGACGGCTTACTAAGCACGAATGGCACGTTGTTCCGAATAACTGAACTTAAATGTTCCGGCGGGGAAGTGGTGGAGATGAAGCTGGAAAGCTGGGGGTGGGGGTGGAGGGCATTTCACAAAGGGTCTTGTGAATCATGGTCAAGGAACATGCTTCATTCTCTCCTACGCTAAAGAAAATGCAGGAAAAGTTACCAACATTGTCAACTCTCCAAATTTGGCTTCTCTTGTGTGGTATTTTGGCAAATATAGAAAGTGAGTCTAATCCGATCGGCACTAGGGGGCACCACTGTAAAAGTAACCATTCTCTTGTGTTTGTTTGAAGACAGCGAATCTTCTTTTCCTGAAGAATTAAGATTAGAAAAAAATATTAGAAAACCGTTGTCAGGCAGTCAAGTGCTTATCCACATATAAGAGAATCAACAATATCAGGGGCAGCTAATGTAATTCACTATTTGCACAGTGATGATATTTTCTAAATGAAGTATTTAGATATATGTTTTAATGCAGGTACTCAAAATGGGACAGAATAATTAGGATGGGGATGATACTGGAAAATATTGCACATGTATGTACATATAGACGCAAACATACACACACAGTGGAGAGTTGGGAAACAAGCAGAAAGGCTCTAGGTATAGATCTAGGGGTACAATCTCTCTGTTCCTCTTCTCTGACCTCAGCTGCTTGGGACCCAGCCTTATCTAGGAGCTGGCCACCTTGGCCTTCCAATTCTTTTCTATTTATTTATTTTTTTACATATAGCAATTACTTCCCTCTCAAGTGGCAGCTTCCCCCAATTCAGGGCTTCTCCATTCATGGAAAATGAAAGTTAATCCTTTTGCATCATTTGGGTTAGAGGAGCTACACACAATGTATTGTTATTACTATTTCAAGAGGAAAGACGAACCCAGCTGAGTTATAGGCAGAAAGGTTTATGTCTCCACAGTCGCTAATGAAATACATGGTAGAGCTGAATTGAAAGCAAATTTTTCAGCATCCTATGCTTTGTATATTTTATTTGTAGTCACCCATACTTTTGCTAACCAATCTTTTCAAACAATGGAATTACAATATTTGCTTACACAAAACTATAAAATATTGTCTCATTTTGGAGCAGTCGTTGGAGTACAAAGGGAGTGCAATGGGACAGGAACCAGACTTTATCAGTCCAGGCTTTTACCTCTTGACCCCAAGTAAATTCCTTGAAATTCCCTGGGCATCAGTTTACTCATTTCCAAGACTGGAATTTGGTTGTGGTGAGGATCAACTGATACACAGCTTTGTACAAGCTAAGATTATTATAATTATTCATGAACATGCTTCCATTAACATATCGCTACTAAAATGTTGGCTTTGTAGTATGTGTGCACACGCATACACATGCACTGTAACTCAAATCTCAGAAAGCATATCAGTTAAAGTTAATGATAACTTCATAAATTTTTTGATTTCCCTACTGTAATTTTTAGGATTAAAAAAATCCACCTTGGAAGAGTCCTATTATTTTTAAACATAGATTTCTAATTAAGAGATTATGGATGCATTCTAGAACAAAGGAAGAATGAAGGAGAGAATTTATGAGGTTATGAAGTGTTATTAGGTTCAGTGTCTGTTTACACGTTCAAAAATCTAAAATTACACCCTTAGATCACATGGCTTAGGCTGTTCCATTTCTTCTCATTTTGATATATTTCATCCAATTCTCCAATGACTTGGCTACCAAATAAGGCAGGAAATTAGATTTACAAGAGACATATCATCTGGTTCACAATTTTGGAAGCATTGGGGAATATTACTGGAATAACCAGTTTTTTTTTTTAAATAGACATTTCATTCTGAAACGCAACTTAGGTGGGTTATTAATTTTTATGTTTGCCTAGCTTGATAACATGCAAATGCTATTTAAGAACATATGCTCCTTGACAGAAAGATGGATAAACAGACGTGAACTTTAATTCTTCTTGCACTAATTTAATAAGAGCTTGTGGTTAGAGAGCCCTAATTCCCAAAGTACTATATTGTACAGGTAGGGAAGCGAGGGCTCCAGTGAGTTTAAGTGGTATACCCTCAGGGCTGGGCTCCCCTGCAGGCAGCCAGAGCTTCATCCTAGAAAGCCAGTGAAACAGTATCAAAGATCAGGATAGAATGACAGTATTATAAAAATTATAAAGAACCATCAAAACATGCATCAAGGGAAAACATAAAGATCTTAATGAGTTATAAAATAAGTTGTAAAACATGTATTTTATTTTCCAGTTTAGTAATGTAAAACGTATTTTGAATTACTTGTGTGTTGGGTCACTGCAGTTTTTAGCTTCTAAGACCCCCATGGGTATTCATCTGGCCCTGTATATGGTACAATAACTCCTGAACTCAAACCTTTTTTGAGTTGTCTGTGTCTGTTTGCATGGATGGATGGGTAGCAGGGAGGTTGAATGGTACTTGCAGTAATAGTCTCTCATCTTTGCAGAGCTTTTTACTTCTGACCTCATTTCTTCACTAAGACCTTGGAGAAAGATTGTCGTTTTACACGGAGAAAATTTGAGACATAGAGACTTGACTAGGTTTGCACAGAAAGGTCAGGATTAGAAATTAAGACTCAGTCTAAATTCCAGTCCTATCTTCTTCTATTATACTTGACCAGGAGGCCACAAGTCTGAGCTTTCAGAATATTGGCTGGCTGTTTTTAAAATTTTTTTTCTTTTCTGGCATCAGTATTTTTTGAAGAAAAATTGGAGGAAGGATTTATGTCATCACAGAGGGAAGAGAGACTTTTTTTTAAAAAGGTTTTAAATCTACTTGCACAAAAGTAGACAACATAATCAGCAAAGCTTTAACAATCACATAATACCTTATGGATTATTTTTATAAAACAGTCAAAGCATTGCATGTATGATATATTTGTACAGGAGGAAGAGGACCTGAATTCTAGTACTAATTCAGTAATTTATTCTCTCTCAGTCTTACTTTCTTCTGCATTTTTAAAAATGATAATGAGATTAGGCTCTATGATTTCCCAAGGCCTTTCTTTTTTTTTTTTTTTTTTTTTTTGATTGTGTTTTTCTATTGTTACCCAGGCTGGAGTGCAATGGCGCGATCTCGGCTCACCGCAACCTCCGCCTCCTGGGTTCAGGCAATTCTCCTGCCTCAGCATCCCGAGTAGCTGGGATTACAGGCATGCACCACCATGCCCAGCTAATTTTTTGTATTTTTAGTAGAGACTAAAAGTACAGTAGAGTAGAGACCATGTTGACCAGGATGGTCTCGATCTCTTGACCTTGTGATCCACCCGCCTCTGCCTCCCAAAGTGCTGGGATTACAGGCTTGAGCCACCGCGCCCGGCTTCCCAAGGCCTTTCTAGCTCCATCAGACTGATTGAAAGAATTACTTAAGTGATAGTGTAATTTTCACACTCTATACAAATTTTGTCACTCCGGTAATAAGCGTAGTATAGGGACAATCTTAGTTGCTCATTTACTATCAGAAGGAGCCACTTGGGGAAGAAAGGGCCTGCTGCTTTTGTGACAGCAGGGGGGGTCTATTATGTTGAAAATGAAAAAAACCTATTCAGCCGTAAGTAGTTTCTTAGGGCTATTGGAACAAATTACTACAAACTGGGTAAATTATAGCAACAGAAATTTAGTCTCTCACAGTATCGGAAAATAGAAATGTGAAATCTAGGTGTTGGAAGGCCATGCTCCTCTGAAGCCTGTAGAAAAAGAATCCTTCCTTGCTTCTTTCTAGCTCCTGGTGGCTCCCAGCAATCTTCAGTGTTCTTTGGCTTGTAGCTGTATTGCTCCAAGCTCTGCCTCTATATTCACATGGCTTTCTTTCAAATGTGTATCTTGTGTGTCTTCTCCTTTTCTTTAAGAACACCAGTCATATTAGATTTAAGGCCCACCCTAATCCAGTTGACCTCATGATAACTAATTGCATCTACAAAGACCCTATTTCCAAATAAAGTCACATTCCAAGGTTCTACACCCACCCGAAGTTGGGAGAGACACCATTCAAACCACTACTGTAAAGCACATTCATTTACTTATTCAGCAATGTTCATGGAGCATGTTACCTGTCAGGCACTGAGGACACAAAGGTGAGCAAAACAGGCATATCCTCCCTGCCCTCCCCAAGTTTGCAACCCAATAGGAAAAGACACAGTTAAGCAATAGCACACGATAAGCACTGGATAACCAAGGAGGGCACTGTTCATCAGTAAGAAGTTTCACAGAAAGCTACCTACCAGCTTGAAGATCTAGTTTCTTGATTGGGATTATAAAGTGAGCATACTTGTTTTTTTTGCATTAGGTACTTGGTTTCACTTCCATTAATTAACAGGAAGGGTTTAGTTTAAAATGACAGTCATCATTCTCACCACCATAATCCTCATCCCACTGCTATTCTGTGATGATGTTACCATTGACCAGTCTCAGTTTGTATCAGAGCACATGCTGAGGATTATTTAGCCTCCCACAGATGAGGTGAAGAGCTTCACTGCATGCACAACACCAGGGATCATCTTTTTGTAAACTTTTATTTTAGGTTCAGGGGTGCATGTGCAGGTTTGTTATACAGGTAAATTGTGTGTCACTGGGTTTGCGGTGCAGATTATTTTGTCACTCGGGTAATAAGCATAGTATAGGTACAATCTTAGTTGCTCATTTACTATCAGAAGGAGCCACTTGGGGAAGAAGGGTCCTGCTGCTTTTGTGACAGCAGAAGGGTCTATTGTGTTGAAAGTGATCTTCTGTTTAGAAGGTCTTCTTATCACGCAAACCTTGGAAATCTATCTTGGTTTTGAATATTCCAATAATCTAAATTGAGTTTAGACATTGAGATGAGAACACTAGAAACTAAGGAAGGGAAAGAACATTTTCTGGTCTAAGAGAAGGACTCAGGTGTCCCTAATCCCAGTGCGCTGTCTTGTTCACTCAACAGCTTGCCTTCTCAGGACAATATTCCCTCCTTGTTATATAACAAATTAGTTAGGGGAATAAGTGATTTCAAATAAAGGGACTGACTGTAATAATTCTGCTACTGTCTTTGTATATTCAAGGATGAATGGGTCAATTTCTTTTTTTTCTTCTCTACATCGAACTTTTATTATGACAATATACAACTGGTAATGTGCACCGTGACTGAAAAGAGTTCTCATATAATTTGATTTGGTCCTGGCATAAGAATAGACAGATCAACGTTTGGAATTTAGAATCCAAAACAAAACCTGCACATTTATGGTAAATTGATTTTCTTTTCTCTTTATTCTTTAACTTTTATGTTCCAGTGTACAGGTGCAGGATGTGCAGGTTTGTAACATAGGTAAATGTGTGCCATGGTGGC